CTCTTCTACTACTCTCTTTCACTCTGTATCATCTCTATCATTATTATCAGATTAATCAGAGCTGTACAGACTGCAGAGTCAGCTATTCAATCTCATTCATGAATTCAAAGAGATGTATATGACATTATATGAGATTTTATTACAGAGTATTTAGCAATATATACTATAAACACAGAGATCAAAATATGATAGAGATAGTAAGAGAGAAGTAGAGATAGTGAAAGTGATAGAAGAGACTGTAGAGTAGTAGAGATAATGATAATAATAGAGAGACTAGAGAGTGAAAAAGATGATAGAGAGGAGTGATAGAGGTGATAGAAATGAGAGAGATAATAGAGATGGTAAGAGAGAGGTAGAATGATAAGATGAGAGTAGAGATAGAGAGTGAAAGTGATAGAGAGTGCTGTGAGGCGGTAGAGACAGTGGTGATGATAGAGATGATAGAGGTGATAGAGGTGGTAAGAGGTGATAAGAGGTGGTAAGAGGTGATAAGAGGTGGTAAGAGAGAGTCAGAGTGAAAGAAGTGTAGAGGTGGTAGAGATGATAGGAATGATAAGAGAGTGAGTGGTAAGATGAAAGTAGAGTAGAGATATGAAGTGAAAGTGATAGAGGGGGCTGTGAGGTGGTAGAGGCAGTGGTGGTAAAGGTGATAGAGGTGGTAGAGGTGGTAGAGGTAGTAGAAGTGGTAGAGGTGATAGAAGTGGTAGGGGTGATAGGGGTGATAGGGGTGGTAAGAGTGAGTGATAAGATGAAGGGAGGGGTATGAAGTGAAAGTAATAGGGGATGCTACGGGGCGTTAGAGGCGGTGGTGATGATAGAGGGTAGATAGAGTGATGCAATTGGCAGGCGCCACTATGTATCCATGGATTTTTGATGGGGTGCACGTGACATCACGTGAGGTCACGTTACAGCGTTTTTTGCACGGAAAAGTTGGTTTTTCTTTAATATATAGAGAGATAATAATAATAAGTATGAAACTACTATTTAATGTTAGAACCGTGTAATGAGATCTGTCAAATTGGCAATGAGACTATCAAAAATTCTGGTCCTGGTCTCAGACACAGTCACACGGTCAGTCTAAGTGCGCTGGTGATGATTGAGCTCTTTTATCTCAGTAGTCTACATCTATCTCTTCTATTAATAAGCTGTAAAATCAATCTTACAGAGTCTTCTGTTTTAAGCTTAGCTCTGCAATGTCTTTGTACACAGAGGCTCGTGTGTATTAAGATATTTTTAAACTAAGTTTCTAGTCTTTATTTCTAGTTATATTACTCTCATTAATCATATCACTAAACTTGTAAATTGAGGTTTACAGATTAGTTATAATCTGAAAGACACTAGTATCCGGTATCTGATATTTAACAGTTGAAATTTCAGAGTAATCAGATACTGAGTATTTAAAAGTCTATATAATTATTAATCTCTGTGTCACGCTCCCGGCCGCGTCAAGGGCCCGTTGCGGTTCCACACGGCCCATCGCTTCCATGCGGATGATTTCATCCCGTCCGAACCGGTTTCCAACCACCCTATGACATCATTCGGATATATCATAGGAAGATCCGATTGATGGATATGAGAACCCCGCTTCTATACAAGGTCAGCAGATTACTCTTCCTTGGCAGTGAGGCGCTGCTGAGGTATCGCTCCGGCTATCCTCGCTCGTGGAATGGGAGGAGGGTATCCGCTCATTGTCTATATAGAATAGCTAGATGCTGGCTCCTCATCTAAGGAGTCAGCGATTCGTTTTTCTTCTACTGGAATATATACAAGAGTTACTGCATGTCTCATACAATCTTCTTAGTATACTAAGTACCATATCTGTGATATCCTCGCAATAACCCTGTAGCCTACGAGCTCGCTATTCAAGCAAGATAGTCAAGCCCACTCATACGGCTTCCCAAACAACTACCCCTACGTGAACGCCGCCGACTAGCCACCGCTTCGGTTCCGCCACGTTACACTCTGAATAAATCTGAGAATTATTTCATTAACTCTAACTTACTGTTTCAGTGATTATTTTATAAGTCTGAGAACTCAGAATATTTATCAAGATTAGAAGATTGAAGAAGAAGAGAGAGAAAGAATTAGTAGTAATAATAGAGAGATTAATAAGAATTGTAGAGAGAGTCTTGAAGAATAACATTATTATGTTGTAATCTAACTACGCGAGTTACACTTATCTCAGCAAGCTCAGACACTTCTCCAGATATTCATTGCTGTTTTAACACTGAATTAATGATTATGTCATGAGCTAATCTCAAATAAGCAATAAGCTAACTCAAATAGTAAAATCAGATCATGTGAGTGATGATATCTTACAAAGTATCTGAGAAGAAACAGTTTCTGATTATTAGTAATATGAGAAGAATTTACTCAGTACTCTGAGTATGAAAGAGAATTTCAACTCAACTTCATAGATTTATCATTTCTATATTATCTTAAAACCTTAGAATAATAATGTTCTTACAATGTATCTGATTTTTATATTCATATCTCAAGTTCTTAGAATAGAAGTATCATCTCAAAGTTAATCAGTGTGTTTTTGAACACAGGAATTTTAATTCAATTTCTTATATAAAAAAAAGCTCTTAGAAATTCTGAGATTAAAAAATATGATCATTTTCAAGAGTATACATCTATCTTAAATATAGATTTTTTTGAAATATTAAAGAAATATTTCTATTCTTCTTCTCTTTAGCTATAAGCTAAGATGATTTTCAAATCTCAAAGATATATGAATATATAGTAATAGACAGTCAAAGTTAAAGAATCTGAAAAATTCTTGTAAATCTCAGAAATCTTCATTGAAGATGAAACTATTTCTTCTCAGACTCTCTGGCAAGAATTGCTCTGAGTACATAACTTATATCAAAAGTAGGTTAGTGTTATACCGGATTAACTAGTTAATAATAATGCTGCAACCCGTTCAAACTGAGTCAGAGATCTGAGCCCGCTGAGATAAAGTTACACTAAATGAATAGGTTGGGATGGCACGTGACTAGAGTAGGTGTAGTAATCATCAACACTCCCTCTTGCTACACTGTGGCCTATAATAAGCTGTCACCCGGGGCCTTCTTCATTCTCAAATCTTTCAAAAATGCAATAATAATTAATTACATGAATCGGACCCTGATTTCCTCATTAGAAAAGGTGTCCATACAGCAATAACTGTAAAAATCAAGAAATACATGCAAAATCCATTGATCTGCTGTATCATCATTATCATTCAATCATTCCTTCTTCTCAATTTTCTGAATGTCAACTCTCTTGACAAATTCTTCAAATGCAGGCTTCATCAATGGCTTGGTGAGCCTGTCAGCTATGTTCACTGTAGAATCAACATGTTTCATCATGATTTTCTCTTTTTCAATCAAATTGTGGAGAATATGATATCTAATCTCGATGTGGCGCGACCTTCATATTAAGAATTCTCCCTTTGCTAGATCAATTGCTCCCTTATTATCAACTTGTAGATGCGAGCATATTTTCGCTTTTCCATCATTCATCAACTCAGTATCATATAACAGGTTGCATCATCTGTTATACTCAATCAATAACTTGCACCCTCTCTAGTGAGGGTGTTATTCCTGTTAAAAAGTGTTTTTTCACCCTCTGTCAGATCAATGAAGAATCTCATTGCCAGCTTGACAGCTCATGTCATAGATGCGAAGATTGAACATGTCATTTTTGCCTGAACACAGACTTTGCAGAATGGTAAAGCTCATTAGCCAATAATTCTCATCTCTAGATGTGAGTCTGCCACTATTTTTGCAATATTCGCGGGATTTAGATGTTCTAGCTTTTGATGCCATTGCATTATTGTAAGTTTGAATCAAGTCTCTGTATATAATCAGCCTTTCCATTTCATAGATATCATTCTCATTTAATCTTGCTGTAAATGAGAACATGCGGTCAGAAGACATAATCAACATATTATGATTATTTTCATATATTAACTGCTTATAGGTATAACTCTGACATACAAGCTTACTCATACTCATGAGATTCACTTCTAACTTCAGAATATAGCAGACATTATTTAACAGTATATTCACTTCTTTCACTGGAATCTTCATATCTTCTATAGCTGTAGCAGAGATCATTGTTCTATCTGTCATTTTCAACATCACTTTCACCTTCTGAGGTTTTACCATGACAAGATCCCTGTGGGGTGTGGCATGGGCACTCGATTCAGAGTCTAGAATCCAGGTACCTTTCCTGTCTGGTCACTTGCATAGGTCTTTTCCTTGATGGAAAATACTTGCTTCATGACATTGTGTAAGAAATCCCGCTTCTCATGAATCCTTTACCCCTATTCCTATCTCTCGCGTAATCAATAGGGCTAGCGGCCCTTGGCTACACACAACTATATAGACTGGAGTTCATGAATACTATTCATAACTCAGCTTGAATGCTATTATACATTTAACTTCTACATTTTATCTTCTCACTGTGAATACTTCTAGTAATTAACAGTATATATCATGTCAAGCTGTAAATATCTGAATAATTGTCTGTGAGCACTTATTCTTACATTTCAAGCTCAGTCAGTCAGTAACTGTCTATTATAACTGAAAGAACTAGAAACTTGCATACTCTCATCTCTGCAAACTCTACTGCAGATACTCAGAAGCAGTTATCTGAATTATAAATAATCTCTATGAAAGAAGTCTCAGAGAACTCATCAATCACTTATAAGACATTATTCTCTACATCTCAGACAGAGAAACTCTCTGAATTCATGAATAAATCAATCTTAGTGAAGAATATTCTTAAGCATCTCTCACAGAATTAAGCTATTTTTCTACAAGAAATACTTACTGTCTGTAAACACTCTTGAACTGAGTTTCTAGATATAATCTTCAGAGACATCTGTGAATTGAAAAGAAACTTTCTTAAGCTGTAATTACTTAAGATTATCTATCAAATCACAATCTATAAAAGCTTTTATAAGTTTGTATTTGAAGTTGACTTATAAGTCTGACTGTGTGATATGAAAGATGAAGAAGCTGTTATCTATATAATGACAGATCTCTATTACACTGAAGTCAAGAACTGACTGAATCATTTAAAAAATAATCATAAGAGATCTCACTGATCTGTTCTTAAGACCTATCTAGAGAATAAGTTGAGAAACTCTGTGAGCTGAATAGAGAACATCTGAGCTGTGATCATCAATATTAGAAAAAGAGATGAGAAATCTGATGAAGACTACTCACAGTGCTTTATAAAATTATGATATGAATTGAGATCTGTGAAAACAGAGCTCTGAAACAAGATCTGAATAATAATATTTATAAAGAGACTGAATAAAGATATGCAGAATAAGCTTATTAAGTAAAACTCTAAACTCTTAACTCTGAAGAAACTGATAACTCTCATTCATTACTTACAGATCACTGTGAGAGTCATAGATCTGTGAAGAGCAGATTATTAACTAACTCTATGAGAGTCAGAACAACAGAGAACAGATTTATCAGAAAAAGATAATAAGATATAGAGAGATTTATATCTGACTGCTGAGCAGAGAGAAAGAGCTTCATAAGCTTCTATGAACAGAGTGTATAACAGAGAGATTAAGAAAAAGAGACTCTGCTTTATCTGTTCTAAATCAGAATATCTTCTTGTAAACTGTCTGAACAAATTAAAATAGAAATTTAAGAAGTTATAAACAGAGTCAGTAACAGTCTTCTTAAGAGTCTTGAAGCTGACATCTGAATCTGTTGCTCTCTCAATGAAAATACTTACTCATGAGAAGAGACTGCACTGCAGTACTGCTGTCTCACAAGTATGAAAAGTATTGATAAACTCAGAATCTCAGATCACTGTGATGTCTCTAAAGCTCACAGAGCAAATGAGCTGAAAGGTGAAAACTGAAAACCTGCTCTTATAATAAGCAGAGCATGAGAACTCAGATCTGAGAGCTGAGAGACTTATAAGAGTTATCTTTGAATTACAAGATCTCTCTGAAATCTGAAGAAGATTTGTGAAAACTGTAATTATCACAGACATCACAGATGATATATACTTGAGACTTGTATAACTTCAAAGACACAATCTGCACATAGCTGTCTGTGAGTCAGATTTATACTTTCAATCAGTGTTGATAGACTCACTTACAGAGGTAGAAACAGTTGATGCTGCAGAGTTAGTTAGAGAAGATAAGCTCATCTATGTAATAACTTTATAAGTGTCTGAGAACCTTGCAGTCATGAAAACTGAGCTTTAGATATCAGAGAAATATCAAGATCTCATAGAGATGTTCAGCTCAGTAAAGACAGCTGAGCTTTCTTCTCACTGTAAGAAGAATCTGATAATAGATTTGATAGAAGAGTAGAAACTCTTCTGAGAATCAATCTATAAGCTCTCTCATTATGAGACAGAGGTCTTGCAGATCTATGTGAAGAAGAATCTGAAGAATAGCTTCATCTGATCTTCACAGGCCTCTACAGAAGCCTCTGTGATGTTTGTGAAGAAGAAGAATAAAGATCTCAGATTATGTGTAGATTACTGTGATCTGAACTTCAAGATAATAAAGAGCTGCTACTCTCTGTCTCTGATTGAGAATGTGATCAACTGTCTCATGAGAGCTGTCATATTCACACAACTGAATGTGATTAATATATATACACAGCTGTGAATATAATCTAAGAATGAATAAAAGACTGTCTTTAGAACTGCACTGAGATTATTTGAATATCTAGTGATGTCTTTTGATCTGACTAATATCTCTGCAGTATTTCAGTCTTTTATTAATAAAATACTTCATGCATATCTGAATGTCTTCATGATAATATATCTGAATGATGTGATAATGTACTTCATGAAGAAGAAAGAACACACTGAGCATGTATGAAGTGTGTTAAAGGTCTTAGATGAGACAGAACTATATATTAAGCTTATAAAGTACAACTTCAGTGCTCACTGAATTAATTTTCTAGAATATGTAATCACTGTAGATGATATTCAGATGAAATCTTCACAGATTAAGACTATTCTATTATAGCTGAAGTTAACTAGTATTCATGAGATTCAGATCTTTCTGAGCTTTGTGAATTTTTATAGACAGTTTATCTTTGTATTCATAAGAATCTTCTTGATTCTTACAGACATGCTGAAGAGTGAAAACAAGAAGAAGTCATCTCATAAATGAAGAATAAAAAGATTGTTAAGAAGAGAGAACTGTGAGAACTTTCTTATTTCAGAAGCTCACAGAGCCTTTACAAGGTTGAAACAGACATTTATAAATGTAGTGATGCTGTTTCACTTTGATCTCTTGCTCTTAATCAGATTAGAGATAGATGTCTTCTTCTTTACAATTTCAGAAATAGTCTTACAACTACAGTCAAATGAGAACTGAGTTTCAGTGGCCTTTTTCTCATAGAAGATGTAACTCATGAAGATCAACTATAACATTTATAATTAGAAGCTTCTTATAATAGTGAAATTCTTCTGTCATTGATATTACTACTTTGAGAGCCTTGTAACAGTGATTACTGTTAGAACTGATTATGACAGCTTATAACAGTTTACTTCAATCAAGAAACTCTCACAGTGACAGGTTCACTGAGCTCAGAGACTGAGTGAGTTCTGATTCAAGATAGAATATATTAAGAGAACTAAGAACTCAGCAGACAGACTCTCTCACAGGCAAGACTATGTTAAGAAGACCAGAGTGACAGACACAGAGAGACTAGAGAAGACAGAAAAGCTTTATAAAATGCTTGAACTGAGTGTTATGAAGAGATTGACTGAAGAGTCTCTTAATCCCTTATAAGAGAAGAGAGAAGAGAGAGAAAAGAAGCCTGTATAACTACTCTCTACAACACTGAGAGTCAACACTCTGAGAATCTTCACAAGAATTCTTGAAGAGAGTATCTATAATCTGAAAAGTTTGCAGACTTTGAGAAGCACTGTGAAAGATCTGAGATAAGAGAAAACAGAGTATAAGTCTTTGTAAGATCTTCTATTCAGATTATCTGAACTGTAACTGAAGAATGAATATGCTCAGTATATTTAGAAACTGCTTACAGCAGAGACTAATCCTGCAGAAATAAAGAATTGAAGAGACTTAAATAATCTCTTACAAAGAGAGGGCTGAATTTATGTACCTGTGAATAAGTTTCTACATGTAGAACTTATCAAAAGATATCATAACTCTTCTCTAGTAAGTCATTTTACAGACACTAGAACTCATGAGTTGCTTATAAGAAAATACTTCTAACTGAAGATATAAGAACTTGTGAAGAAGATAGTGAATTCTTGTACTATTTGTCAGGATTCGCAGGTAGTGTGGTTCAGGCTATATAAAGAACTTACTTCTCTACTCATCCCGCAGGAACCTTGAAAATAGCTAGAAATGAATACTCTTATGAGCCTCTCTGAAAGCAAGAACATATATAATGCCTGCTTTGACAGTGTGCTGGTGATAGTGAATCACTTTATCAAGATGACACACTTTATACTCATCTGCAAGAACTTGAAGTCAAAGAATTTGACTCATATCTTTGTCTGTGATGTGATTCAGTTGTATGAGTTGTCTGTGAATATTATCTCAGACAGAGAATTAATCTTTGCAGAAGAGTTCTGATCTGATCTGATAACTATACTGAAGATCTTATGAGATCTAAGCACAGCTTTTTATCAACAGACAGATGATCAGACAGAGTATCTGATAAGTATATTAAAACAGTATCTGCAGTTATTATTATTATTATTATTATTCTTCCATTATACTCATATGCAAGCGGAGCTTATGATGAGTCCTTGCGTGATGTTAAATACAGGCCAAGTGTTGGTTATACAGGAGGAAATACAGGTGTTGAGACCACGCCAAGATAACAAGAACATAGGAAATACAAAGGAGTGACAATTAGATACATGCGATAATAACTTCCCAGCCCAGGAACATAGAGCGATTTATTGGAGCGATTTGTACACCTCTGTATTTATTAGGAACCTGAGGTGCTTGAGTTCCGGATTTAATGTATCCCCTGCGGGTTTCGAACCCACACGCCTTGGTTTCCCACGCCAAGGCGCTACCAGGTGGCCGCATTAACCATTCGGCCACCGGGGCAGAGTATCTGCAGTGCTTTGTCAATTATAATCAGAATAACTGAATGCATTGATTATCACTTACAGAGTTCATGTACAA